GGTTGCACCATTTTACACTCCCACCAACAGTGAATCAGGGTTCCAGTTTCTCCACAACCTCGCCAGCATTTGTTGCTTGCTGTTCTCTTTCAATACAGTATACATCATTCCTCCCCTCCTCCTCTGTCTTCCCTCATCCCTGATGTCAGTCCTGTTTTACAACAATGGCCCTATGCAATATTTGTCCTTTTGTGACTGAGATATTTCACTCAGCATAATGTCCTCCAGGGTCATCCATTTTGAATAATATTTTATGAGTTTCTTGTTGTCCAATCCTGCATAGTATTATTTTGTGGATCATGTCTATATTTTTATAGTTTTTAAATACTTTCTATAATTTTTTTTTAAGTTGCGTGGACTTTTAGGAATTACTTCAATGAAACTATGGGTGGAAATGTTTTGTAGATTTTGTAGCTGGCATTCCTGAATTTTGAATGAAAATTGCAGTGCTGATTTCATCGTGTTATCATACTTATTCTTTCATTAGAAAGATAACACTTTGTCTTGTTTATATGTCTTGTTTTTAAAATGAATCTAGTAATTTATGTTTGAAACAGCTTTAATTTCATAAATAAGAAATTACTTCATTTTGTATGGTTGCATTTATCTATAGTAATCTTATTGTGAACAAAAGTATTCAAAATTTTAACTTCTTACTATTACTTTTCAGATCACAATTTTAGAGCAGATGTGGAAAAATGTTCACCTCAGAAAAAGGAGTTGTGGAAGAGTGGTTGTCAGAATTTAAGGTAATATTTACCCTTCTAATATTGTACAGTAACTAAAGTCTAAGGAAATTTTTCTTGGGGTTTGAATTCCAGTGACTTTACAATTTAAGTTAGGTATAATTAATATACTATTCAATAAACCCACTTGCAATGTACATCTCACAGTCCTTTTTTTAATTGTTATTATTATTAATTTTTTCCTTTTTTTCTTACCTTGCAGGTTTTTAAAAAAATTATTATTAATTTCAATGAAAATTTACAGAGACTTTGGATTTCCATTCATTCATTGTTGCACTTTTCTCTCCTCCCAACCCTCACCCCTAGTACATTACCCTCTTGGAAAAGTAAAATTCTTTCATTGTTTTGCAATCCTCCCCTCAGGTCCACTCTACTATACAGCCTTCGCTCTGGACTCCTGTCATGACAAAAATCCCTAATAATTTTCCCTCTTAGACAGTTTTTTCCCCTCATCTGTTTCAAGGCAGTATACATTATTGAATCCATCCTTCTCAGTCTCCTCCCAACTCCGAGGTTAGTCCCAACAGTGGCACCATCCAGTATTTGTCCTTTTGTGACTGAGATACCTCACTCAGCATCATGTCCTCCAGGGTCACCCATTTTGAATAGTATTGCATGAGTTCCTTGTTTTTCAATGCAGCATAGTATTCCATTGTGTGAATATACCACAGCTTCTCTACCCGTTCATTTGCTGATGGGCAGTTAGGTTGTTTCCAACTCCTTTCTGTTTTGAACAAAGCTGCGATAAACATGGGTGTGAAAGAAAAACAAAACAAAACATGAGTGTGCTCACAGTCTTTTTAGTGTGTCACAGAATTGTGCAGCAGTTACCACAATCAAGTTAAGAACATTTTCATCACTTTTGGAAAAAGCGTGTACCAGTTAGCAGCCACCTTCATTTCCTTCCAGTCACCTAGCTGTAGGCACTCACTAGGATACTTTATAAATGTATGTATTTGCCTGTTCTGGAGAATTCACATAAGTATGAAGATGTAGACTTTTTTAATGGGCTTATTTCACTTAACATTATGTTTTCAAGGAACTTTGTGAAAATCAGTGGTTTGAATTTACCAGTGGGAGAAATATAGACTCCTCTCATAAAGATTTGCAGCCTCAAAAAATGATACAGGATTACTGTGAGTTAGAATTAACTCAGTGACAGTGGATTATCCATGCTATAGCATGCATCAACAGTTTGTTCCTTTTTGATTGTCAAATGAGATCCCATTTTATGGACAAAACATGTTTTACTTACCTATGATGCACTTATGAAGCTGGGCTCTATGAGGAGAATTGTGGCATCAGGATTGGTGGAAGATCTATTAACAGTCTGCGTTATGCAGATGACACAACCCTGCTTGCTGAAACTGAGGAGGACCTCATGCACTTGCTGCGAAGGGTCAAGGACTGCAGCCTTCAGTATGGACTAAGGCTCAATGTCAAGAAGACAAAGATTCTCGCCACTGGACCAATTAGCAGCGTCAGGATGGATGACGAAGAGATTGAGAGTGTTCACAGCTTCAGTTTGCTCGGCTCCACAGTCAACACTCTTGGTACCAGCAGTCAGGAAATAAAAAAGCATATCGCGATGGGAAAGTCTGCTGTTAGGGACCTCTCTAAAGTGCTCAGGAGCAATGGTGTCTCTCTGGAGACTAAGGTGCGCCTGATACAGGCCATGGTCTTTGCAATCGCTTGTTATGCATCAGAGAGTTGGACAATGACTAGGGAGGACAGAAGGAGAGTGGATGCTTTTGAGCTGTGGTGCTGGAGAAGAGTACTGAATGTACCATGGACTGCCAGGAAAATAAACAGATTCATCTTGGAGAGGATTAAACCAAGCTACTCCTTGGAGGCAAGGATTCTGGGGCTTCATCTGACATACTTTGGACATGTTACCAGGAGGGATGGGTCCTTGGAGAGGGACATCATGCTTGGGAGGGTGGAGGGACAGCGCAGGAGGGGAAGACCCTCTATGCGATGGATTGATTCTGTGACTGGGGTAATCGGGATGGGTGTGTCAGAGGCAGTGCGGTTGGCGCAGGATAGAGCAGGGTTTAGGGCTCTTGTGCATAGGGTTGCTATGAGTCGAAAACGACTCGATGCCACATAACAACAACAACAACAACATGATGCACTTACCTTTTGAGTATTCTAAATAATGCTGCTTTGAATATTTTTGTATGTGTCTTTGTATAGTGATTATATTTCATTTTTCTTAATGTATTTTAAGTGAAATTTTGTGTGAGAACTCTTATGTTTCATATTTTGAGAAATTGTATAATTGTTTTCTAAAGTGGTTGTACCATTTTACATTTCCATCAACTATATATGAAAGTTCCAATTTCTCCATATTCTTGCCAGTACATGTTATTGTCAGTCTTTTTTATTATAACCATCCCAGCATCTGTGAAGTGGTATTGTCGTTTTGGACAGCTAACTGAAAGACTTACTGAAGAAGATTAAAGGCTACAACCTTCAATATAGATTAAATCTCAACAACAGTAAAACAAAAATCCTTACCACTGGACCATTAGGGTAGGTGATAGCTGGAGAAAAGTTTAAAGTTGTTAACATTTTAATTTATTTGGATCCGGAATCAACAGCCATGGTAGCTCCAATCAAGAAGTCAAAAGATGTGTTGTGGTCCTAAGATGGCTCCTGGACCACTGTTTCCTGGTTGAGAACATGTTGAGTAAATAATAGTGGCCTAAATGAAAGTCATGTTGAGTTGAATTCTGAAGGTGAAGCCACAGCAGAAAACTCTGCACATCACTCACAGGAAGCTAAATGAAGCTCAAGTGACCATGAAAACAGAAACCTCAGATTTCCCTACGGATGGACCAATACTGGAAACAGAGGCAAATATAAATGCCTCTCGAGAATAGCTTTCTGGAATTTCCTTAATAAAAATGTGAAATAAATTCAAGAATTGCAGAAAAAACATTCTGAACAGAAAACTTCAGCCTTGGGACTCAGGAGGAGAAAAGGAAAATGCTCCAGGAAAGGTAAATTGAAGAATGAAGAAGCAACTCAGAGTGAACAGTTCCCAAATGAAGGACAGTGGAGGGAGCTTCCTCAATGTTTTGGAGTCAATGATTTAACTTCTCTGTGAAAAAAAAAAAGGTTGACAAGCCGGGTCTTGAAAAGAAAATAGACTAGGCTATGGATGAATGGAATATTCAGAAGGCCGAGGAGCTCACCAACCAGCTAGCTACTTGAGAGAGTGGAAGGCATGAAAATTGCCAAAGCTATTGCACGGGGATTTGAAGCAAAGAAGAGATGGGAAACCAAAAAGCAATATGGGATATATGCAACTTGCCACAGTTTTTGAGATCTTTCTAGACTCCCAAGCATTCAATTTACTGAAAAGATTTTCATGCTTTCACTTAAATAGGCCAAGAAACTGAGAGAAATGAAAAAACAAGCATTAAATTTGGGTTGATTATGGCTTTGACAAGCACTGTGGCATTTGGACAAGAACAAACTGGGAGGAGGGTAGAGAGAACAGTGCAACAATGAATGGAAACCCAAAATCTCTGTAAATGTTTATGAAAATTAATAAAATATAATTATAGAAAAAAAAACAAATCAGGAATGCTGTAACAACCAGCCATCAATTGACTTTATGGAATTTGCAATAAAAAGTATTATGTGCTTTATTATAAAAAAAAAATTTGGGTTGATTATCAGACCTCTTCAATTTCTTTTTCTAAGGTGCTTATCCATTTGAAGCAAAGCATTCTGCTGTGGGTATAAGAAATCTTAACATACACACAGAAAGGAACGGCAGGAGTCATTTATGTATGTAGAACTGTAACATAAAGTCAGTTTTACTTTTTATCCCTTTGGCAGAGCTCAGCCAGTTAGCTCCTCGTACTTTCTTGCCTATTCTTGGTTTAATGGCACCACTTCTGGAAAGGTTTTGAGGTTGGTATTTGTTTATAAATGGATTGGTCACAAGTGCTCAGAAAATCTTACTTGAAACTTTTACTGATGACTTTGATAATTTTAGTGTTATAAAAGTCATTATTGACTTTTTATTGGGAGTCAGTAGAGAGCAATTTTTGTGTACCTTCAGATAAGATATTTCAATAAAAAAATCTCACAGACTGCAAAAAGAAAAAAAAAAGATGTTGCACTGGGCAAATCCGCTTACAAAGATTGTTGAAAAGTACTCAAGAGCAAGAGTACCAATTTTAAAACTAATGTGTACCTGATCCAAACCTCTTAATCTGAAAGTTGGACAATGTAAGGCTGACAGAAGAAGAAGAATAATTAGTACCTTTATTTATTTTTTAAAGGAATCTATAATTTATTTCACGTGACCAACCATATCTATAATTTGACACAGAGTTGATGGGTTACATACACTTTCAATTTTTTATAGTTAGATAACCATATTTTATTGTATTTAGCTCTATACAGCAGAAAACTCTGAGTTTTGTAACAGAATTGCCAGTTATGTTGTACTATAGAAAATTTAAAGTGGAAATTCCAACAACTGATTTTTCCAATAGCACTCAAACTACTGCTGCATAGTATTTTGCTCTGTATGAACCTAAACTAACTCCAGACTAATAAAACTTTAACTTCCAATGATTTCAGTCGTTTAAGTCTGTTATGAAACTTGCCATTCTTCTTTTATTCTAAGTGAAAAGGCCAAGTAACTTCAGAGTTAGTTTATTTTTCCTTGAAAAGAAAGTCTAAAATAAGTATCTGAAAGAATAATAATGTTGGATATTAGAAACAAGACATGGAGAATGATTCAAGTTTGGTTGTGGCACACTGATTTTTAGAATGCCAAATACCTCCTCGGGTAAAAATACTTGAAAATAATTTAGTCCTTCTGTACTCTTTGTTTTCGTACTGACTTTACCAGCCTATCTCCAGACTCTATGCTCTCATCTGTTTCCTTCATCTCATCATCTGATCTAGAAGTATTTGATTTATTACCATCTTCTTGCCCTTCGATGATTTCTGTTTCTTTTTCATGCTTTTCCTCA